CAGTTCTCTGCTGTATGCAGTAAACTGGTTTTTATGGCCAAAATACACTAGTCTAAAAATAGAGCACTTCCACTTTGCTTTCAAATTAATTCAGGTCCTGCTTTGGATAAGAAATAGAAGATAATAAGAGATACCCATCCTTTCTGTTCTGTTCTTCACATAAGTACCAACAGCAATGGTTAACACTTCCTTCCAGAGAAAATGTTCATGTTTCTTTCTGGAGGCCTTTCACCTACTAGCATACCTTTGAGAAGTCAAGACCTACCTAAGACAAGGAACCCAGGCCAGAACTCAGATGCAAAAACTCAGTATTTAGGAAGTAGAAGAAGATACAGGCTACCAAGGAGGCATTTAGAAATCATCACATACACAAGTAGGTGTGATGTTAGAAAAGCCAAACCTCACCTACAACTAGTAGTTGGAAGGGACACCAGATCCAACAAGAAGAGCTTCCACCACTACACTGGCAGTGGAAGCCATCTGTGGACAACCAGAGAGTGGGATATGTCATTTACCCCAGCTTCAGCATGGCTTCCACACTGTCTCCCTCAACATTCCCATAACCAAGTGCACACCTTACAGCCTGGACAGGCAGGCAGCTAAATGTGTTTAAAAAAAACCCAAAAAACCAAACAGAAACACCATGGTGAGGCTCAGAGGGCAGGGGATAATCGCTGCCCCTCCCTGTGGGTGAGTCCTTCACTGACCCAGGGGCACCAGCCATTGCATATCTATTGCTGCGGACACATGCCTGCTGCTCACACTCAAAAACATTCCTGCTGTTTTATAAATATGCCATGAAGCCTGGCAAGGAGAGGATTAGAAACATGCATCTGGAATTTATCACCTCATTAAAAGCCCCAGTATGATGGTAGCTAACAACCAAAGGAAAAATAAACAGAAAAGACCTACGGGACTGATCAGTCATACCAGGAAACATACTTGACTCTGCAGTGAGGGAGATATCCACAATCATTCCAATCAAACTACTACTCATCAGCAAAACATAAGGCAGCCTTCCCTCTCCTAGTCATGCCCAACTTAGAAATGGAAAAACAACTGGAGTATCTTAAGTGCTGCTGGCATCTGCCTACAGGGAAGGTGGTTTTGCAATCTAATGCATTCCCTATGCTACTATTCACATCAAAAGTACCTTGACTGTTTCTTCTGCCAACCATCAGCACATCTGAGATAAGGCTGAGCTGGCTTACTTAAGTGAGAGTGGGATGAGGATGCTTGTAGAGCATCAGTCGAGTCTTTTGAGACAGCTTTAAATTCTGAATCACTTACTGTGCATCCACACAAGGAGACATATGATCTAATTCTTTAAGCAAACTCAGGAACAACTTGGCTCCCCGCTTTTCCAAAGGATAAGAATTAGACTCCAATGACTAATTCCTTTCTCTGCTTTATATTTGCTTACTTATTTTTCTAAGTCACATTTTAAAAACATTTTGCTGAAGTAGTAGAAAAGTATCTAACTGACAACAGTCTCTGGTGACTCAGGCGATGAGGACATGGAGAAATGTTTGGATAGGTTAGGGAAATAAGTTAAGAGCAGCCTTGGAAATTGTCTGTATTAAGGACAGAAGACCAGCATATGTCTCTCAAATTCTTGGTAAACTTTCCATGTTCAATTCTGGTCTGAAATAAGTTGTACCTTACTCCCACAGGAGAGGGAAAAGATTTTGGAAAATCATCAATTTCTCAGTCTAGCCTTAAGAAATGGAATTACATTTGGAAGAAACATGCTGGAATTAAGTTAAAGCTTATTGATGATATATGAAGGATAGAATAACTATTTCCATTGGAAAAAAAATATTTTTAAAAAATACTAATACCATTAAATAGTAGTATAATAATAGTATAATAGTAGTATATAGAATAGTAGTTCTGGAACTGTGATCTTCAACCTTCACCCTAGCTGTTAAGATGGAAAGCATAAAAGACAAGTTTTAAGAAAGTTTTGAGCAATATCTCTAACAGATTTTTCTTTTAAAATTATTATACTGGAAGGCAGATTGAATTAAAAAACCACTAAAAAAACTTAAGCTCCAAAAGAGGAACTGTCATATAATTGCAAGTTTTACCCACCCAAATCTAGCTGAATTTCCAGAACACTTCTTTTGGCACACTGTTCCACTGGCTTAGCAGACACATTCTTATCTGTCTTTGGATGGCTGAAGTAGAGTCTTTACAGGAAAGATTAACTCAGCTATCTTGCCTTTAAACTTCTGAGAAAAGCAAACCACCACTTCATATGACAGTCCACCAGACCTCTATTACTCTGGGTAATTTAAAGAGAGGCAGGCAACTTCCAGGAGGATGTGCCTACCCAGAAGTGATAAGGCTGTAGATGGGCCAGTTCAGGGATACCTCGGTCCCAGCATGCCACGCTGCATTTGTGAATAGACACAGCACTTGGCATTTCTGAGCTGACATGCCAACCTTTTCATTATAATACCAACTGTCTCCGTTGGAGATGTGACATCGTGCCAGCATGGGACTGAAATCACAGGAAAATCATTAAAAAGGATTGCATTGCTGGGTTTCGTAAGTCTCCAAAGATAGTGTCGAGACGAAAGGAGAGACTACATATATTAACTGGGGAGAAAAAAGCCTGTTCACAAAATCAGTGATAGAAACAAATGGAATCTACTGCAAACTCCTTTAAATATAAATCTAAATATATCTGCTTGGTATGGACTGTTGCTACAGAAATGGTAAGATAAAATAAAACCCGTTTCACTGGAGGACATCCCAGATCTAGATTCGTACAAAGGAGGCACTCTCAGGACAAAGTTATGTATGATGCCTTTAGATAATTTAACATGTAACCATATGCTGATGGAGACGATGCTATTCATGCCTCCTCCCCCACAATATGCAGAATACTCCCTTCCTCCCATTTCACCGGCGTTTGCCAAAAACTATACCAAGCTGATTCAACACTGACTCGAATGTGCTAAAATGAACAACTTTCTGTGGGATTAGCAAATTGAATTAATTCAGTGAAGGGTCAAACAAGTGCTGAAGCAATGGGACTTTGCCCTAAGATACTGAGATTGGACTTTTGCCTCTGCCCCACCACAGAGGTGTCAAAAGACAGCACAGGTAGGAAGCAGCTGGGGACCCCGAACAACAGAAACTGACATTGCAGAAGTAACAAACTAGAACAGCCCAGGCACCACAGACATGCACGACCTTCCTACTGCTTTGATGCAGCCCCTTTAACCCTGCTGGGCTCCTGGGCATTCAAATACCCTCTCCCTGTTCCTTCACTTGTCACACACATAGTATCTGTGCTCTGAGCTTTACCATCCCCAAATCCTTATCGTCTTTCCCTAGAGTTTCTTCTTAAACTCATAATCACAACAACAACATTAGCATTAATATGACACTCATCACCACTGGGACAATTGCTGAGCACACACATCCTGCCCCTTCCCCCTTCCTTTTTCCATTGACTTCCACTATTCAGGAGAGTGGCAACCACAACACTTTCATGCAATGACTTGGCTAACATGGTGCTGCAGTAACTACCACAAAACACATGATGACTAGTGACAGTCTTCTGATTGACTTGACAGCGTCAATATAGAACAGGATTTTTTTTGGTAGCCATTTCTTTTGCAGGAATCTGTATGTACACAAAGGGTCTGAACCCAATCTCTGAATATCCAATTTCCAAGTAGCCACCCCTTTGTATTGCCAAGGGAGACAAACACTATTTGTGAAAGCACGTGGGCAGAAACCTAAGCAAAACACCAAGGTGATGATGAATAACACACTCCTGAATGTCAAGGTACAGTGGGATTTTTGTAATTTTGTGACATCCCAGCTTCTTTCCCACATTGTAGAAAAGCAAAATAAAACGTAGGCGGAACCAAAGTCCCATTGTTAATAGCATGCAAAGAACTTATTTAAATTCCCCATCTGTTTTGGCCAACCATTTACGAGTAATTCTCCACATTTCAGTCACCTGAAAAAAAGACAGTTCCAGGCACAAACACTTCCTAAGCAGTTAATATCCAGGATCACAGATGATTAAATCATGGTGTTTCACTCTTTCTGTGGGCTTTGTTTTGCAACTGGCTTCCTGGCTGCTTTTTGTCTCTAGCATTTCTCTCCTGCTTCTGGCAGATGAAGTAGAGGTGGAAAAGAAAATGGAGGGAAGTTCTTGGGTAGCATAAGGATTACAATAATTTCCAATCTTTCAGCAAGAAAGAGCTTGCTCAGGGAACAGATAACCTAATGCTTTTCCACCCTGCTTTTTTTGGTTTTTTAACTTACGTTTACAGTTGTTTGCAATTATAAAGTTATACAACCAGGTAGAAAGTTTACTACATTTATCTCCTTTCTGCCCCCAAACCCACAATGAATGAATCTCCCATCCACATATTTCCTCCACTTTTTTTGCCATTGCTGTGGGCAATATGAAACAGAAAACTGCAATTAGAGAGATCCTCAGTCATATATATACAGGTCACTGACATTTGGTTCATACCCAAGCTTGATGTGAATGCAGATGCCACTCATCAAAAGGACAGTTATGCCATGGATAACAAATGACCTCAACTATCTAAATTAAACAACAGTACTAGCACAGGGACAAAGTTACTTTCAAAGCATTCTTGGTATTCTGTCTGATTACCTGTCCTTGTTCAAAACAAAGGGAGAACTGTCTTCACATTGGTCTACTTATGTTTCCTTTCAGTGTTCTGAAAGAAGAGCTGTTCAAGTACTTGAGTTTTGTTTTCAGTTGGAAAGGTCATCTGGGGTGTGTGGCAAAATGAATCTGTACACTTTTTTCAATAAGGAAAAAGGGAAAGAGGCGGGTTACAGGGAAGGAGGGAAATGAAAGTTTACTGCATCTTCATTTTTGAATTTGCAAAAGTCTCAGATGAGTTATAGAAAAAGTATAATTAGTAAAAGAGTAACAGTCTAAGAACCTACAGAATCTAATTCTTTTTTGAAAAAGAAAAGCGATGACTACTTACATATAATATGTAGGATATAATCCTTCAAAGTACCAGCAATGCTTTTTGGCCTCTGTACACTACAAAGAAAGAAAAATATGGTATTAATATTTACATAGGATGATTTATAGCTATAAACACAAGCTTGAAGTATTTATAAATACTGTGACTCCGAGCAGTTAGGAGAGGTTTATATTCCCAAAGATTTCCCAATCCAGATACGCACAGCAAGCGGGAAGTCAGTTCACGTAAATGGCAGCGTGTCCTGCCAGGATTCAGATCCCTCACACAGGGCTTTGTCTGCGGGGCCCCACCAGCTTCCCACAGTTCCCAACAAAGTCAGTACATTTGGCACAGATCCAGGATCCAGCTGCATGTGTTCCCTGGCAGAGCTGCTGCCTTAAAACCACGGACAACTTTAGAGCCCATGGCGGTCATAGCCCCTTACATGGCATCCAAGGCACAAAGCAATGTGATGATACTACACATACGACTGCACAGTAAATTCAAGTTACAGGGAATTTATTCATCTTTCTGGATGTGTGTGGCATGTGGAGCTAGGCTCAGGAAGGAGCAGAATGGAGAACCATCTCTCCCATCTCCTCTTCCTAGAGCTTGGAAATGTCTCAAGTGTTCATTAAAGCAGTGGGGAAAGGAAACTGCTTTTTGCAGCTCAGGGGTATTGTTCTCTTTTGCAGATTGCCAGTGTATCCCTGCTAAAGGACGGGGACAGGCATTTCCTCAGCACATGCGTGCCAGCGACATGAGAAGTGCTCATCCTTATGGGCACTGCTCGAGCACAGGCGGCAGCTTGGAACAATAGCAGCCCCTAATAAAGAAAACCAGATGTCAAGCTCAAACTCTACACAATGCACCAAATATTTCTGTGTATCCCACTGACATCACTAGCACAAAATGCCATCTTCACTGCAGACACAGCTCCAGCAGCTCCCCTGCAAGCTGTATCATCACAATGCCCAATCACTCATGGGCAGGGCATTGTGGGACACCCACTTGCAGAGCTGTGAGGAATACCTGGGGTTTTCGCAACAATTCCCTCTGCTCCTCACACCTGACACCTGACAACAGAGAGCCCTTGGCACATTGCCAGCATTTGGATCATTCTTCATGTTCACTTGGCAGCTCACCTTTAAATAATAGCTCGTTTAAGTTTATTAGCCTTCCCAAATCCCAGAATACTAAATGAATCCAGTTAAGACAAAGACAAAGTGGTTTTAGATCCTTGAGTCTCATTCTTCATGAATAAAAAAGGCTGCAAACTCTTTAATGAGTGTCTGATGAGCTAAATCACAGACAGATCAATTACAGCCTGTGAAGACAAACTGCTATGGATTAAATTGTTAAAAGTGGTACAGGAGACGGGGGGAGGAGGAGGAGGAGAAGATGCTTTTGAAGCATGTGTTGAGGCCTTTCTCCAGTAACACAACAGGCTCACACCAGTCTTCGAGATGCACAAGCTTTAGTTTATGCGGGAAGGACCAGTCCTCTTTCCCTGGGATAAACACAGCAAAAACTTTATTCCCCTCTCAAACTGATGCCACGGCTCAGGCAGTATATTCAGGAGGACTCTTTAGCTTCTACTGAAGCAAGTGGTGTTCAAAGATCCATCTCTGCATTCACTCTATTCCCTCTTTGTTCCCCTCCTTCAATGTTTCCAACTTTTTAACCCTTCCTTCCAAATATTTTCACCATCCGGCTGTTTCCTCTTACTCTAAAATTAGAAATATGTCAAGTTTCTCTCCATAACACCATGCAAACCTACATGCATCAAAAAACCCAGTAGGCATGCTGCCAAGTCACTGAAAAATACTTTGGCTCTTCACCTTTGATGGCTGTAGATCAGCAGACATTGGCTAAAATCCAGTGTCTGCAGGTCACCCCCCTGGGAAGCCTCATTTCAGAGTACAGCTTGGGGTGGCGCTGCCATTAAATGTTTTTCCTTCCTGCTTCTCGGCCAGTATGAGTCACCATTTACCTCAACAGCCTTGAAGCCTTTTGTCAGTCTCAAGCATTTTAATTGATGTTTTCCCAGAAATGTTTCTGAGCACGTGGAGTCTGCACACCCTTTGTAAGTGTAAAGCAGACATTTATTTATATTCAGCACTCTCCCCCCATATTTTAATCTGCTTCACAAGTTCTAAAATTAATTGGGAAGATTCCACCTTCCAACATCTCCCTAACTGTAGGATTGCTGTTTCTGCCTCTAAATAATTCTCTTTTTCAGACAGCCAATATGCTTACTGCTGCCACAAGAAAGGCTCCAGCCTGGGAAAGTTCCTTCCATCTTACCGGGCTTAGATACCTGCTCTAAACATCCTTTGGTGTCCAGATTTAGTTTTAAATTGGCCCAGGAAGAGCAGGCACCAATCCCAGTTCTGCCTTTTTTTAATATCACAGTGCTACGAACACTGCATGGCAGATATTCAGCTCTCCTACATGGGAATCGGGCAAAAAAATCCAGTGGACCTCAAATGTGAGCAGCAGAGCCAAATCTGATGCACATGACATGTCAGACAGATTTACAAGCACAAGGGCAAAGCGCTGAACTCCCTGCTCTGTTAAACTCCCACCCATCTCCATGGCAACTCTACTCCAGGAAAGCCTGACACAAAGCAGGCGGCTACTAACCACCCTCTCTACTGCTGGTTAGCAGACTTTGCAGGAATTGCTGCTGAGAGAAGTGGAGAATGCCACTGCTGCTAAGGATTTGAGTGCCTTTAGCACTCATACCCCAGAGAGATGAACGGGGGTCAGGGTACAGATTAGCTTTTCCCACCCCACATCCATCCTCTGAAGAAGGCTATGATAATCCGCCACTTGCCAACACCCAAATTATTCTTCTGAGTGGTATTGGCCCCAAGAGCTAAGCTGGTGGAGAGCCACGCAAGAGTAAGAGGAGACATATACCATCAGCATCAGGCTCTCAGCCTTTGGAGAGCCATGTCCTTGTAGCTGTTGGAGACTATTAAATCCTCAAGAAAGCACAGCTGGCAGGAACTCGCTGCAGCCCACAAACCAGAGGCAAAGGGAAGATGAGTCATATTGCTGCCATACAATAGGACCTCACACATCAGGAGGGGTGCCCACTCTGCCAGCTCCCATACGAAGACAGGCTGTATCTCAGACTTTCTAACAAGCATTCATTCATGTATTTTAAAAGGCATTTACCCATTCACTAATAGCCAAAACAAAGTGTCTACGGTTTTGTAACTAAGATTAGATACAGCCCTACTGATACTTCCAGCCCAGCTTTTCTAGGGAAAGGATTACTGCACATTTCTCTTACAACATTCTCCCTTCTATGCCCTTTAAGAATTTGGCACAGCTATAAAATATAAATATGAGAGTACATTCATTTTTAAAACAAATTATGCAGGTCTAATTAGGTGTGCATATGTAATCTTTAGAGAATTAATGGTATGTGAATTAGCCAGATGCTTGAATACATTCCTTAAGTTTGCAAAGAAAAGGAGAGAAAGAGAAAAAACACAAGACTTGCTTTTTTGTTCCTCTGATTTTAAATAAATCAGCATCTGTCTTGTAGCCTGTTTTCTCTGCAAGACTGTAGCAATGTGAATTGCAAGCTGTCCTTTTCTGTGGCCTCTAAATTATTTCAGATTTCCTTTTAAAAAGGACACCTGCTTCCTGCCACAGATTGATATTGCAAACGTTACGGCTGCTAGTAAGAACAATGAGAAATAGGAGTTCCTAAAACATTATCCAAAGACTGGTTTTGATCACACCATAAAATACAGAACACAAAATACATATGTATGCACAAGGTGTGGGGGATGCTAGAGCAGGCAGGCTGCTCACTGAATGTCAGGTGGTACTCCACAGATAGGCTTTGCAGGATTTGCAGAAATACTATCTCTAGCAGGAATATCCTTCACATTGCACATCATTATCTCTCAGCCCACAGGACAACAAAAAGAAAATAGATCTGATCAATTAATTAGTCTTTGTAATCAAGGGATTAACAGCCAGGGCCTTCAGTGGAGGATTGGAAATTAGTAACAAAAAAGTAAAGCCCCATGTGCATATTCCAGCATGAGAACAGTCCATTTCTGTTATGGGCACCAATGGAAAAAGCAGCCTGCTGTGGACAGCCATGCCATGGAGGGCAGATGGAGGGTGATTGCTATCTGTATGCTGAAGGGACATCCAGAGAGAATTGGTGACATCTGCTCAAAGCCAGATTCTGTAGGAGGCTGTTATCAGTCACAAGGCCAATGAAAACCTATCAGTTACCAGCAACTGAGGGTGAGCCTTTCTCTTCCATTATGTATTACACTTATAAGGATCCAAGGTAAATTCAGAAGAACAAAACCAGGTATTTAACAGTGACCTGGTATTCTGGGGTGACCTGCTTAGTGGCTGTAACCTGCCACTTAGCTGGGTACATGTTATACCTTATTAGGGTTCAAGATGATCCATCGACATGCCAGTCCTGCGGCTGCAGCCTCGGATGCTCTGCTCGGATTAATACACAGATGAACGGGAAGAAAGAGCTAGAAGTATCTTTGACAAGTATAATGCTAGAAGTATCTTGTTGTTTCTGAGCATCACACAATCTTATTCCAACAGCCAGAACTCTGTCTTCCATACTGCTGATCAAACTAAAATCTGAGAAAATGGGAAGGACAACACCTTTCTCACCATAGGGCCCCACAGCATCTGAGAAACAGCTATCTATACCTGCTGCCTCTCTTACAGAAGGCCATTTGCAAAATTCAGCTCTTTCCTGGTTTTATTGGTCACTGCATGTGGCAAATACTTGATGAAGCCCAGACAAAATGAAGATAAAGTCTACGATGCAACTCCAGACTAAATAAGCAGTTCCAGAAGGCACATTATTGGCAACGAATCACACTGTTTTATGGGATCTGACCTTTAAAACTGCATCAGTTTTCAGAACACTATCCCTTTCAGTGCCTAGACAAGAGCTGGATGCATTATGAGATACAAGCTGGGCTGTATCAGAAGAAACTTGTGTGCTGAAAGTTTGAAAGACTGTTTGTGCAGACACAGGAATACGAGGCATCCTGTTCTTCTATTG